GACCTTGAGCAAGGCAAGTCATCACTATTCTTGAACATATTGATCCCAATTGCGAAATTGTTTTGTTTACAAATAAAATTGCATGCAAAGATGAACATCCTACTTGCAATTACCTTTGGGAAGGTAATTGAGATGCGGCATGTGGAGACATGAGCGCCACATTGCCATGATATTGAGGACATGATTTGTGAAAGGAGAAATAAACTAAATAACTGTTTTCGACTGGGGCGGACGGAGGATTTGGGTGGTATCTGGAAAAGGCTAGTACCGTCCCCGGTCAATTAAGGACCGAGCCATGAAGTTAAGCATGAAACGACCCCCGTACAACCGCACTTCTCGTATGGGTATAGACCTAGTGGAGTAGATAGCCGAGCGAGGCAGTATCCCTGCATAGATGATTCACCCCTGAGTGAGGCAGGTGCGCTACGGTGGGACAGCCGTTGAGGTAGGGCCGAGAGGCGTGCCCTACATCGGTGTCGCCATTGGTAGGACTGCCATGAGTGTGTGAGAGAGAGAACTTAACTTGAACCATAATTTAATATGTGTGTGAGACTTCTCTTTCCTAGGAGCGCCAGAACTCCTCTCACTGCTAGAAACATGGACGCCTAGAGTGCATGAGGATTTAAGTTCATGGAGCGGGTACTGCCAATGCGAGGTTATCAAAAGGCTTTGCCGTGGCGCGTCTCATGTGTTGGGACGAGGCTCATGTGTTGGGCAGTCGCGGAGTGCGGGTAAAGTGTACATCCACTGCAGTGTGAGTAAACCAAATCTATTCGATTAGCCGTGCTCGCGGTTATTGAGCACCGGGACATGTATTACACTTGGCTAGACTCTAAATTCTTAACCTGTGTGGGATGGGATATTGCATGATGATTTTTATGCTGATGGAGCCACTTCCTGAGAGGAGGGAAGGTGGACGTCCTCAGAAAACCATGACGACTCAATGGCGGGAAGCTATCCTTGGGATCACAATGGATGGTGGACAGAACCGTCGTTGTTTAAATACAAACACTGGTACTAAAATTTGATCAATCAATGCTAGGTCTTAGGTTTGTGAAAAGAATTACAAAACTGGCTTAGCGCAAAAGAGCCATAGCCATCCTTTGAAATACCCCTTTCATATGCATTGTTGCTGTGGTGACTTGCTGAGTACGGTTGGTACTCACCCTTGCAAATATAAAATTAATCAGAAGCGGGAGATAAAGCTTCGGAGGATCCCTATGCCTACTACCAGGAGGGAGATGAAGACGATGGCGCTCAGTAGGTCTTAGTACGGTCGTTGCCTGTGGCAATGGCATGCCGCTGCCTGAATTCCGCTGCCTTATCTATTTCTGCTTTTGGATGTATTCTGGACCGCTCGGTCCGATGATTTAAGACAATGCCTGCGGGCTTATGATGTAATAATTAGCACTAGACTCCCGTGTATGTGCTTTTGGTATTTCAGCTATGAACTCCTCTGTACCAGACTACTTGATCCAGGGAAATGGTACTGTTTACACGAATGATTCCTGTTATAAAAACGGGGGTCCACATTATCCCCTCTACTCTATCTTCTGTTAAGCAACTCGACGGGATGTCAATAGCGAAATTATTGATGGTCGTTGTACATTTTGTCATCTCTGCATCTATCTACGTTGTACCTTTTGGCTTGACCGGATGTTAGTAGCGAAATTATTGATGGTCCTTGTACATTTTGTCATCTCTGCATCTATGTTTTACCTTTTGTCTTCTCTGAGTTATGTTAGTGCATCTGCATGAATCACCCCAAACTCTGAATCTATCTATGTTTCCTAATTTATTGATGGTCCTTGTACATTTTATCAACTCTAAATCTATCTCGTTCCCGGCTCCCCTTATCCTTCCTGTGCTCATTCCTCATTTTCATCGATGAGGACCTCAGAGTTTGGGGTGGCAATGATCACAGGAAGAATAAGTAGGAGATGGATAGATTAGGGACTAATTACTCAATGACCTGGATTAGCACAGTCAAAACTAAAGTGTACTATGCATCAAATTGGACGCGATAAAAAGCATATTGACACAAAGAAATGTATACAGTTTCTGCATACACAATTTAACGTAATGTTAAGCACAGCAGTGCTGATGAACACTGAATGACTGGATGTTGTTTATGGTTATTTGGTTTTACATTTCTATTGCATTATCAGTACATTTAAATTTACTAACTGTGGAATTAGACTGCTTCAGTCATAAATCACCATACAACACTGCTCGGCAAATGTCAGGCAGTATTTCATCTAAAAAAAATCATAAATCACCATATTACGATTTCGATTGTTCACTCTTACTGGTGAGGATGCAATTAACAATTGCTAGATGCAATTTAATTTCATGATTATGTAGTCTGTCTACGTACCTCCAGCCATAAAATTTTTTGCACTCATTTTATAGCTTGCTCTTTGAAGGTGTCATACATATTGCTAGTGTATGATATAACAGGGCCATTAATAATACAGTTAGGTGGTTTCACATATGAGCATGCTGAAAAGAGGGTGCACTGCATTCAGAGATATGACCATGTTGGGGGAGTACACAATTCAGTCTTGAATTTATTTACTTAAGCTATAATTTTTTTAGTAGTAGAATGATATAAAAGGTACCAATCCTGCCATGTGCTAGATAATTCAAATGGTGTAAGCTTGCAGCAATGACGATTTTTCTAGGAATACGTGGAAAACTGGAAACCTCAATTTTATCAAGATTCATCATTCTCTGATTCATTGAACTGATTGGTCTGAAAAATTAGGTCTTGTTAGCTCATGGGAGAGATGGCCGTATGCGATATTAATGAAAAATTGGGCACTGCAGCTGACTTCCTTAAAAATAGGGAAAATTGCAAAAACCACTCCAAATATCACTCTGAGTTTGAGATGCCCCCCTATAAGAAGATTTGTTGCAAATCCCCACCTCCTAATTCATCTTGGTTTGATTTGGGCACCTTCTCTCTACACATGCGTTTTTCCTGGAGCATCTCGTGGCGAAATTAGCCAAGTCCCGCTTGGCGGGAGCGAGAGACGCTGAGACCCAGTTAATCACACCGTTCCCTCCGAGTCAGTTTGAGTCGGGAGTGGAGATTGAGGCGGCGGTAGCGGGCGGGACAGCTGCGAAGATCGCCGCCGATTGTGCTGCTTTCTCTTGTCCAAGCGACTAGAAAGGGTTCTACTTCGACGATCGCGGAACGGACATACAGTAAGTTCTTGGGTGTTGGTAAAATTTGAGATTTCGTTGGCATTACAATTTACAGAGAGTTAGTTTTTCATATGTAGCACTATCAGATTACATCCTCGTTAGAGTAGAAATTCATGGTAGCAAGTGGTTATTTTTTTGGTTTTGGCAATGTAATCAATGGAAATTTTGTTTTAGGGTGTTGTTGATTTCTTGGTACTGCACGAAGATCATCTTATCCAGAACAAACAATATAACCTCTTGCTCCTGCCGAGTGGGACTCGATTGATTTCACCATGAGATTCTCTAGGAAACACGCATGTATAGAGAAAAGGTGCCTAAATCAAACCAAGGTGAATTAGGAGGTGGGGATTTACAACGAATCTTCTAATGAGGGGGCATCTCTCAAACTCAGAGTGATATTTGAGAGTGGTTTTTGCAATTTTCCCTTAAAAATAAAACACAGTGTTGCCCATATGACAGGCAGCAAGCTAGCAGTAACCAAATGATATATACGTGTGGCATAAGACTTATGTGCAAAATTTAGCTACTTCAATATAATACTTCTGCAATCACTATGCTCAGTACATATACTCCATCTGTTTCTAAATATTTGACGTCGTTGGCTTTTTTAAATATGTTTGATCGTTGGTCTTATTCAAAAAATTTAAGTAATTATTAATTCTTTTCATATCATTTGATTCATTGTTAAATATACTTATATGTATACATATAGTTTTACATATTTCACAAAATTTTTTCAATAAGACGAACGATAAAATATGTGCTAAAAAGTTAACGGTATCAAATATTTAGAAGCGGAGGGAGTAACTAATTATTTTGATCGGCACTAATTTCTGGTAGAAAGATGAAACAATGTACGTACATTCAGTGCTTCAGTGAGCAGTGGGCTAATATAAATTGAGTGGTTATCAGGGCAAATGAGGCTTGCTACAGGTGCTTGACTGAGAATTTATCAAGTTTCTAGGGTGCACGGGTTGACAGATCAGTTTATGCTGCTATAAATTTGAGGAGTTAGAGCTAGCAAAAGGAAATAAGGTATGTTTGTACTTAGTTTCCTAATTATGATTGTGTATGCATTGATGAATTTGGGAAACCTATGCATTGATGAATCTGGTGAGCATAGTGGACTTCTCTTTTTCTTGACACAAATTCATCCATGTCCATCCATTCGGTTTCTCATCTCAGTGGATTTAGAGAACATCATCATAGTTTGTAAAAACTCCTTACAGATAATTCTCTATGAATGCTTTTAGAGTTCAATTTATACATTGGATTTAGCTTGCATGGTGTGTCGATGCATTGTAGAGTGCTTCGTAAGTTCTTCGAATGATTCTTTACCAATATGTTATTTGATTGCCCCATAGAGTTTTCAAGGTTAACTATGCTCCACATGATACACAAACTCAATTTTCCCTCTTTCATTGTATATCATTTGTTTTGCGAACGCAATTGTATATCTTTTATGGCTTTTGAAAATTTTGGCCCAACCAATCCAAATCCAGGTCTTTTTCGTAGACTGGCTCTATCTTTTCTCGTCAAAAAGAAAGTATTTATATAATAATATATATATATGTTGCTTGCTCTACCTTTATTCTTCTTTTTTTACGTAGACTGATTCTACCTTTTTCCGTCGAAAACAAAGTATTTATGTGACAACATGCAGCTAGCTAGCTTCACATTGATAGCACTCCCACTCCATAACAAACACAATAGTTGGCTTTGGACTGTTTGCTAAGCTACTTTATTAATTATAGACAAAATTACAGAGTGAACTCTTTTATCAGGTGCCATGCATGTGAAAGTTCCACTCCATCCACCTCTTTAAAATCCACCCTCTTCATTAGTCTTTGCACTCCAGAATTGGGCAATAATAGCTTGCAATGGCGGCTCATCATGTCATGAGCATCGCCGCAGCAGCAGTAGCCATGCTTCTCCTGATGGCGTCGTCGCCGGCAGTCGCCGGCACGGCGGTGCTCGGCCGGAAGGGCGGCGCCATGACTGACGACGATGTCGTGGGAGGGCAGGCGGCGACAGGGCCGGGGAAGTACGCCGTGATATTGGACGCCGGCAGCACGGGGACGAGGGTACACGTCTTTAGGTTCGACAGGATGATGGATCTTCTCAAGATCGGCGACGACATCGAGGTCTTCGCCAAGGTAATTAACTAATCTACTACTACTATAATTAATCTACCTCTCTATTGATTACTCCCTGGGTGATTTTTTTTTAAGAAAAAAAACATAATCTCTCTATAAAAAAGTATAAAACGTATTAATTTTATTTCGTTAGAATAAGACACTAATAAACAAGTACCGTATTCTAATAGGATATTATTTTGTGGTAAAAATTAATGTGAGTATATTCGAAAATACTTAATTTTAATTACACATTTATGTGTAGTATAGTAACGACTGTCGGTGGAAGTTTCATCCTAACCAACTAAAATAAGTCATATATTTTTATATTTTTTTGATAGAGAAAGTACTTGTAAAGATAAATAAAAAAAGTTTCTTTTTGTTGTTACAGGTGGTTCCTGGACTGAGCTCGTACGCTGGACGACCGCGGGAGGCAGCCAACTCCATACAGCCTCTGCTTGATAAGGCCATCCACGTTGTCCCTAACTGGCTTATGAAGAAAACTCCCCTTAAACTTGGGGTACTACTTACCTAACAAATTTCAATATTGTTCTTCATCTAATTTAACAAAACATGCACCACTGCCATACAATTATTATAACAAAATTTAAGTTTTCTAAAAGAACAGGATTCAATTAAATATTTGATTTGGCCCCTCGTTCTGAGATCTGTGCAACTAGTTCAAAACAAATCAATATAATATATACACAAGAAAAGGCAATGATATTTTGGGCTCTGTGATGAAGTAGTTTTCTTGGATCCTTTACCCAGAAGTTGAATACTCCATCCGTTCAATTTTATAAGGCATATTTGATTTTTAAAAATTCAAACTTTGAAGATTTTGACCAAAGATTAGTAAGCGTACAAATAAATTTAGTTTATAAAAGTTAAGCCTATAGATTTGTATTTCAAAGAGCTTTCACATATATAATATTGGTTTCATGCCCATTAAGAATATATATTATGAGAAATTGATGGTCAAAGTTTAGTCCCGAAGAGTTTTTTTATTCGAAATACACCTTACGGCTTGTTTGGTAACTCGATGGAAGGGGATTGGGAGTTTATACAAGGGAATTGATGATGAGATTAAGATAAGAATTTGATTTTTAATCCCAATATCTTGTTTGGTAGAGGAGATGGAAATTGATAGAGAGTTTAGTTGGAGATTAGGTCATTAATAAAAACGGATGGCTGAGATTTGCTTAGACAAAGTAAAGGATAAATTTCCTCCCAATTACCTGCCCCTACCCAGGTATTGAAAAGGAGGGAGTTCCTTCCTCAATTCCCCATCCCTATCCCACCAAAATTCTCATGTCTCCCAACCAAACAAAACACTTAATAGCCTCATCACTCTAAACTCCCAATCCCTCCTACTCCCTCCAACTAAACGGGCCGTTATAGAACTGAACGGAGGGAGTATCGATCATTCAAGCTCAAACCATTTTCCTACTAAAATATTGTAAAATGTTTCTAACTTGCTAATCAAACATTTAAACCTACAGGCAACTGCTGGACTCATACTTATTGGAGATGAAAAGGCAAACCAGATTCTTGAAGCGGTGCGTATACTTTAAGAAAAAAATATACTACATAAATGAAATGCCTTCAGACCACTTACTTAATTTGATTCATAGTACAGGTCAGAGATGTTGTCCACACCAAGAGCAAATTTCAGTACAATCCAAACTGGATCAATGTTCTTACGGGATCTCAAGAAGGATCTTACATGTGGGTTGCTCTTAACTATCTTCTTGATAGACTGGGTGAAGATTACTCGAAAACAGTAGGCGTGATTGATCTTGGAGGTGGATCCGTACAAATGGCCTATGCCGTCTCATCAAGCATTGCTGCTAACGCCCCAGAGGTGCCTAATGGGCAGGATCCCTATATTACAGAGGAGTATCTTAAAGGGAGAGATTACAACATTTATGTGCACAGGTAAGTAATTTCCTTCTCTGATAGTATTGTTTTAGATGCATGTCAGTCCACAACAATTTGGTGAATAACTGGTGATGATGAACACCTGCAGCTTTTTTTTATCTGAATTTACTGTAAATAATATATGGGAAGCAATTATTCATAGTTTTTATTAGAGAAATTTTATGATCTTTGAGAAAGTACCTAGAGATATCAAGATTTTTCACTGAAAATTTTACTACCTCGAAGTACCTGGTATCTAGAGCTACCAAATTTCACACTAGAAAATATGGTATCTCCTTAAGGATTTACACTTTTACTAAGATCAATCAGCAATAACCTGCAGTTACTTGCATTATGGCGCTCAGGCTTCTCGCGTAGAGATACTGAAGAGAAAGAATGGGCCATTTAGCAACTGCATGTTGCGTGGATTCAAAGGTGTCAAGCTAGTTTTCCTTATTTAGTTCAAGATGCAAATATAGACAAATCAAATGTTTGGCCAATGCTTAATAATTAATCAAGTGATGTTTATTTTATCATGGGACAAATAAAAGGCAAATTCACCTACAACGGGGAGCAGTACGAAGCAATGGCAGCACCACAAGGTGCAGACTACCACAAATGCAGACAAGATGTGGTGAAGGCACTGAACCTAGACTCGCCCTGCGAAACCAAAAATTGCAGCTTCAACGGCGTGTGGAACGGCGGCGGCGGCGTTGGGCAGGACGAGATCTACGTCACATCCAGCTTCTACTACATAGCCTCCGGTGTACGTCTCATTAACTAACCGGTTTATACTGGAGTAATCAATTTATCAGGCAGCGTATAAAGTTGGCTATTTACATGAGCATATATATAATAACTCCTATTCAGATTTAATTCTGTGTAAATTATGAATATTGTGATCAACATAATGATATATTGTTCTCTCCAATAATGGGAAAAATAGATTGGGTTCATCGACAGTGAGGCGCCCAGTGCAAAGTCTACACCAGCAGCGTACAAGGCTGCATCAGAGAAGGTTTGTATACTGAGCATCGAAGAAGCGAAAGCAGCATACCCAATAGCTCGTGATCACGCCTACTTATGCATGGATCTCATCTATCAATACACCTTGCTTGTCGATGGCTTCGGTATGTACATATGGACAAATTAAACTATCAATGAAGAACTTGTACTATGTGCCATGTGTATATATGGATGTATATATTCTTGAGAAATGACATGAATATATGCACTGCATGATATATTCAGGTTTGGAAGCAACGAAGGAGATTACTCTGGTAGAGAAGGTGAAGCATGGAGAGTCCTACATAGAAGCAGCGTGGCCATTGGGCACTGCCATTGAGGTTATCTCGCCCAAAAAGAAGCATCAAGAGCCTGGCCGGAGTAGCTAGGATATGAATTAATGTACTATTGTTGTGTGTTGCGTGTGTTTCCAGTTTATTGTAACTTGCATGTATATTTGTTGCTAAGTAATAATGGAGCTTAGCTTAATTTACATTCCTTGAACGGATGATTGATCGATCGAACAAGACGACGGGTGATGGAGAGCAGAGGCCGGCAACCCAATAATATTATATTGTGCAATGACAAAAGTAGGTCCAAGGTCAAGGCCCCAAAGAAAAATTGTTCCCCACAGAAAAATGGCCCAATAAATTGGTCAGATACGAATCTAAGTGGGCCAAGTAGGCGTAGTATGCTGAGAAAGAACCTTGTTGTTCAACCTCGTCCTCCGCCGCTGCAGCTAGCAATCCTTATTAAATTGATGGCTCGAAGCTATGGCCCCAATTTGATCCCCTCCGTGAATGTTCGACGTTCGAGAGATATATGCATATGTATGCCTCTGCATTTTGCTGATTTGAATCTACGGTTCTAGACTAGTATCAATTACCTTTATCTCAAAATATAATAATCTAGTACATACAGGATAAGACATATTTTAGTACTATAAATTATTCTAGTTTGTATCTTGTCTACTACTTATTAGATTGCTACATTTTAAAATGGAGGTAGTAGTATGAATATCATTTTGTGCAAAAAGGCTAGACGTCCCTAGGCTGCAGCAAACTCCATACTGCCTCTGCTTGACAAGGCCAACACCGTTGTCCCTGCCAGGCTTATGAACAAAACTCCCCTTAAACTTGGGGTACGTACACCACTAAATTGATTTACTCTTCATCTAATTATCAAACAAAACCTACATCAGGAACTTAATCCAAAAATTTTTGATACGTACTAATGTTTCTGTATGATGTTTTATCTGACGAAATAGTTTCTTAAAATACTTAATGATGATAATGTTTCCTCTCGAACAAAATGGCCTGACTTCTTGCACTCTATAAATTTTGTTCTTTGTTAATTCAATCAAATACGTAGGCAACTACTGGACCCAGACTTATTGGAGATGAAAAGGCAAACCAGATTCTAGAAGCTGTACGTATAATTCCAGAATGATATACATCATATCATACAAAATTTTAACTCAAAACCATTTCTTGCTTTGATTCTAATAAATCTTTATTCTTAATAATCCCTTTAGTACTCTGGGTCTTAATACAGGTTAGGGATGTAGTCCACACCAAGAGAAAGTATCAGCATAACCCGAACTAGATCAATGTTCTTATGTTCTTGAGGGATCCCAGCAAGGATCATACATGTGGGTTGCTCTGAATTATCTGCTGGATAAATTGGGAGGAGACTACTCTAAAACTGTAGGGGTGGTTGATATTGGAGGTGGATCCGTATAAATGGCATACGCCATCTCATCAAACACCACTGCTAATGCTCCAAAGGTGCCCGAAGGAAAAGATCCCTATGTTGTGAAGGAGTATCTCAATGGAAAAGATTACAACATTTATGTGCACATGTCAATTAATAAGTTCACCCTCTTGTTAAGTATAATTTGATAATGTTTTACATCTCAGTCCACTACAAGCTAGTGAATAATATACTACTTAGAAAGTGCAACATTAATTCATTCGTTGCACACAAAATACTGGTGAATACTGAATAAACTGAACTATTGAAGCATGTAGGTTGTAGCCTGTTAATATCTGAACTTACTGTACAAAATATGGGAAAGAATGCATATATAATCTTTTTGAACCGTAGTTTATTAAGATCAATCAGCAAATTGCAGCTATTTGCACTATGGCGGTTTTGCATCTCGCACGCAGATCCTGAAGAGAAAGAATGGACCATTTATCAATTGCATGCTGCGTGGATTCAATGGTATGCTTATTACTTGTTATGTTTACTATGCATCGATCCATTAATCCTTCAGGATTCATATAATCAATTAACGTTTTGTGCTTAATGAACTAAGTGATTTAATTTGTGTTTGCTCATTTGGCAAAAGAAAAGGTAACTTCACCTACGACAAGAAGCAGTACGACGCAACAGCTTAGCTGAACAGTTATGTAAATACTCCTAAATATGTACATTTAATTACCTGATAATTTTCTCTCCAATGCATATATTTTGGTGGGAACGGGAAAAAGGTTGGGTTCATAGATAGCGAGGCTCCCAGTGCGAAGTCGACCCCTGCAACGTTTAAGGTTGTTGCAGAAAAGGTTTGCAGAATGAGAAGCAAAAGCAGTATACCCTAAAGTTCGTGGTCATGCCTACTTTTGCATGGATCTCATATATGAATACTCTTTGCTCGTTGATGGCTTGGGAACATAAAAATGTTTATATAGGACATAAATGTTCGATAATATAATTGACATGAGTGCACTAATATATATTTTTGGTGATCAGGTCTGGATCCAAATAAGAAGATAATGCTGGTAAACAAGGTGAAGCATGGGGAGTACTACATTGACGCGGCTTGGCCATTGGGTACAGCTATTGAAGCTGTATCACCCAAAAAAGGGCTTCAATAGATTGATATGAACGATTTTAAGATCTACTACTCCCTTTGTCCAATAATATGGTAATTGAATACTAAATGGAACATATTGTAGTACAACGAATCTAAACAGATCTTTTATCCAAATTCATAGTAATAAAATACATATCATTTGATCTGATGTTAGTAGATCTCAGATTTATATATTTTAGGATGGATGTAGTACTTACTTAGAAAGTTAGGATATCTAATGTTGTATGATCGATGTTTATATGATGGTTATTATAGTAACAGAGTAACATACACTATGTTAATAGTGGAGCTAGCTAGCAGAATACATCAAGGCGGCCATGCTCTTTGTCCAAGATATATTCCAAGTTGTGTACGTTTGAATATATAGCAGCTTGGTATATATATAATCGCTCTCACTATCTCAGATGTCATCAGTTTTGATCCTGTGTCATGACTCATGAGCATGCATCTCTTGTATGTAAAAGTAAAAGACTCGTTGACATACACCCCTATTAATTACTACAAGCTAAACATGTTGACATAAAACGAATCATCACGTTTCACGCTTGGCATCAAAACTTGCACCAAAGAATCAATTGGCTATCGATCCATAAAGCATACATCACGTGAAAGAAAATATGATATGATATAGCCCTTTCTAGAGTATCTATGTGCACAACTGTTCTATATTTAATTTTGTTCTTTTGCAGGTTACTTTGTGAACTTCATCATCAATCAGTGAAAGTGGTTTCTCACGCCGGTTTCATAATTCACGATGTTTTAGACAATGACTCATGGTCTCCGAAACATATATTTGATTATTATTTTCAATTTAATATATCAAAAATAAGAAAATATTTAATTCTATTGAAACATTTTCTTCATCACAAAATATAACATTAGACATAACCTAGTAGCTAGGTTGTGTCTAATCCGGTATTAGGTGTTTAGATTGTGTCTAATCCAATAGTATGTTGCTATATTTTAGAGAGAAAATCCCTTGTATGCCCATGAAAACTCACATAATCCCTTCTATACCCTCGAATTTTACCCAATCCCCTGTGTACCCCTGAAATTTCACTTTGATCCCTTCCATGCCCCTCCCGTTAGGTTTCCTTCATTTTCACGTTATGTGTGGTTCCAAATGTCTAAAATACCCTTGTAGATGGAGGAGTGGCAGCTAGATAGAAAAAATTGAAAAAAATGTCAACTGAACAATATGTGTATTTTATGAGACTAAATAATGAGCGTATAACAAATTTATTGTGGCACTGAAAAAAATACAATATAATGAACTTTTTGTTTGGAAAAATAATAGGATCAGGAAAAGCTGACTGTCTGTACAGTTATCAGTTTTCTCTATAGAAGAAATTGGTTCCTCTGCATAAGAAATTGATTATGGTAAAATAAGAGCATGAATACCATCATACATAACAATAGAGATATCCATACAGAACACACAATATCATGCACAGAACATAATCTTTCCATCATCCATACATAACAGTTCATATCATGTGCACCCACAATTCCATTTCCATACTCAATAGTGCAGGAACCAAACCAACTTTCCATTTCAAACAAAATAGTGCAACCAACAAACCAAATTAGCTAGGCAGTATATCATGAGCATAATGGCATAAGGTCCATAACAGTGCATCAATACATCATGAGGAAGCAATCCTTACAATAGCAAAATATGTCAACTATGACTAGACCACTTTGTACGGCATCACAACAACAAAATCCATCAGCCTCCACAAAAGAAATGGACAGTACCAAAATAAAACCTAATTAGCAAGCCATATGATTCAATCCATAAGTTTTCTTTTGCTCCTAGTGCCCATTGCAGGACTCTTATTTTTGCTCCTTGTGCTCATAGCTGGGCTACCAGGAGTACTAGAACATGATGGCTTTCCCTTTGTCTTGCTCTTGGTCATTTTTGGTGCAACTGTAGGTGTTTCCTCCCCCAGACATGGCAAGGCTACAATCATGTTAGATTGCTCAAGTTGGTTGGAGCCAGTAAGTGATGTTGATCTGAAAAGGAGAATTGTGAAATATATTGCATAGAACAACATAATACCAGCAAATTGACATAATTGATCTAATTACTTACCTAATTGATATACTTGAACCCGAGCTATTGTTCCATGCTATATTGTCCTCGGTGAAATTAAAGTTTTGACTGTGAAAAATAAACTATTATGTAGCTAATTGATCTAAATCCAATGTAGAATGAAATAAAGAAGATTTGCTAACCTAGGAGGGTATGCCATTATTGGTGTAACTATTGGAGCAGCCATGATACTAGTCTCCGAGGTTGCTTCATTAGTTTTCTTCGTTCTCTTCTTTGGTGGCCCTCTATGAACAAGAGAAAATATATGTCATAAGGCTTGTTAGAAATAGAATGGAAATTTGTGAGACAAATATATACAAGTGTTTAGGTAATTAAATCGAACCACCACATTACTTTCTAATCTTATCCATTAATTATAATGTCTAGTACTACAAGGATGGAATGTCATGACATATATTTATCAACTTACACAGTTGCCTAAATTGTAACCACCAACTACAATGAATAAAAGACTTGCAATGATATGTACCTTTCAGCAATCATTGCTGCTACTTCCTCTGG